GAGGAGAATTGCATGCGAGAGAATTTTCCTAGTTATTTTTATAGAAGTTCGCCCATTCATAAACTACATAATATTCGAAAAGCTCATCTAACCTATAGACCATTGCCTCAACGAAATATACATAAACATTATGTATGCAAATAATGTCGTTCAAATATAGACATTTTGAGAGAAAATATCCGTGGGCGGAATATTGCAATTAAAATTACGTTTTTTTATTAGAGAACTTTACCAAGATAGGAAAATATCAATCGGAATCAAACTTGTATACCCCTGAGGTGGGCGGAGCTTGTCTCATACAAATCAAGAGTCGACACTTTACTGTAGTTCCATGAGTCTAAACTAATTAATACAGTATGCAATATTACATGCCTAAAACCCAAGTTTCTGAAATTTGGATCAAAGGGCACTATACTCGTCGCGTTTAATATACTGGTTTTGGGCTGTTTCTGTATTTGGATCCGCAGCGAAAACTGGGTACCGGTTAGCCGTGACTTTTCTCACAAGTTGATTTGAACCGGACCGTTTAAAGTCCTAACTAAATTTATGGACTAGTTAAGCTGTATTTCAATTATTTCCTTCTTCAAGCATTTGCGTTGCGGATACTGTTCACTTCTCACCTTTCACCTTCTAGATGTAAAGGACGCTTCAAATTGGAATAAGAAATAAGCTTGAATATTGAATATAGAATCAAATTTGGATAGGTGGTGTACTTCAAAGAAGACACATCATGGATTAGTAAGAAATATTGTATTTCAATAACTAACCAACCCAGAGTTACTCTGCTATGTTCTCTGAGGAAAATTATGCCTAGAGCTCTGTACAAAAGGAATACACTTAGTGTAGGCATTGACACTTCTGCTCCAGATCCAACAACAAATCCAGAAGTTTCTTAAATCAAACAGCAAACTCTGTCGATTCTGATCGCTACAGTTGTGGATATCACAATCTTGATCGTCGTTGTTGTATCCTACCTTAGTATTCCATCTCTGAGCACAGCATTGCTTGTCGCATCACTTTTTGGGTGACGTAAGAGCTGACAGCTAAAGCAGAACAATTGGCCAATCCAAATGCAACTCCGTTCAATCATGAGATAAAGCAAAATGTTTACAAAGAAGTATTACATTCATTAGTTGTAATCCTTTTACAGTTAAGAAGCCTTATGGAGCTACACTACTTGTGTAATATTAGTTATATCCTTTTTATTGTGAGTTTGCTGCATCGGAGCTATAAGATGTGTTCCATACATTGCTGCAATAGCAGAATTTGTGGGGGGAGATATTTTGAAAATGAAGACAGACCACATGCTAAGGTAACACTGCCTCAACCACTGACCTTCAACAGACCGTTCGACGTCAGCTTTCCAAGCAGAACTGAATAGGAACAGGGCATACCGGAAACCAAAAAGCAGGACTGGACTTGGTACACGGACGGGTCGAACACAGCCCACAGGGTATACTCCACCAGCAACAGCAATCACTATATGCACTGGAGGGAAAGCTACCGTTTTCAGGCAGAGATCTATACTATACTCCAGAGAATAACAAGAGAGCCAATAGATAGATCCTTATAATGTTCGACAGTCAAGCGGCACTGAAGACCCTTTCGAGTCAGACAGTGTCATCAAGACTAGTATGGGAATGCCCGGAAGAACTCAGGGTCCTGATGGACCAAAATAATGTAGAACTTATCTGGGTGCCAGGCTAAGATGACGAACTTGCAAAGAGAGAAAGATCAAAGAACAACAAGAAAGACAAAACTTATCAGGTCAGAGTCAGCTGTAGGTAAAGTATGACCAGAAGCTACATCAAAGACTGGATTCGTAAGGCAGGCAGAATCATGGTAGGGTAGTTCATCAACCAACCATGCAGAACGGTTACAAATGAAAAGGAGCCGATTAAGGACTATAACGGGCCTTATTACAGGCCACACATCGGTAAAGGTCCACCTCAACAGGATGAAACTATATGACGCAGAACTCAACTGCAGACTCTGCAATAAGGAACTTGAGACAGCCAGACACATCTTGGTAAACTGGGCATACCGGAGACCAAAAAGCAGGACCGGACTTGGGGCACGGACGGGTCGAAGACAAGGTCTACTCCGCCAGCTACAGCAATCACTATATGCACTGGAGGGCATTTTCAGGCAGAGGTCTATGCTATACTCCAGAGAATAACAGGAGAGCCAACAGGTAGATCCTTATAATATCTGACAGTCAAGCGGCACTGGAGGCGCTTTCGAGCCAGACAGTACCATCAAGACTAGTATGGGAATGCCAGGAAAAATTCAGGGCCCTGACGGACCAAAATAATGTAGAACTTATCTGGGTACCAGGACACAGATAAATCGCCGGCAAAGCTGACGAATTTGCAAAGAGAGAGATCAGAGACAAAACTTATCAGGCCAGAGCCAGCTGCAGGTAAAGTATTACCAGAAGCTACATCAAAGACTGGGTTCGTAAAGAACATCGACACTAATGGACAACTTCCAGGCAGAATCATGGTAGGGTAGTTTATCGACCAATCATGCAGAACTGTTACAAATGAGACTATAAGGAGCCTTATCACCGGCCACACACCGGTAGAAGTCCAACTGAATAGGATGAAACTGTATGATGCAGAACTCAACTGAAGACTCTGTAATAAGGAACCCGAGACAGCCAGACACATCTTGGTAAACTGAGGCACTGGATCTCAGAAGACGCAGCTTTTTCGGGCAACCAAACGTAGTCCTGGAAACAATAATGAAACACCATCCACCAAAATACTATAGTGTTTGAAATAAAGCAAACAGGCTAAGCACATTAAGCCTTCTCAGACTTCAGTGCTACATGGGGACAATAAGTCAGACAGGAATGAGAGAGAGAAGAGAAAAACACTGTCTGGCAATCAGAACTTGAACATTGAGCTCTATGGTTGGCTTCTTTAAAACAATCACCGAGTAGCTCTATTGATTCAAACATCAAAATGCTTACTTTGACTTGTACTTTAATTCATAATTATTAGGTTTGTGAACAAATTTCAAATCCTGTAAAATTCCTTTTCATACTTTAAGGAAGTTGAAACACTGGTTTGATCAAGTAGTTCACTTATTAGTAAACCTAACTGGCCAGTTATCAAAAAAAAAAAACATCTGGCCAGTAGCTAGGTATACAAGATATGTGTCAAAATTTACATAAAATAAACGTAATGGTTTATTGATTAGCATGAAGCTCATAAAAATTAGGATTCAAAAGGTATTTGGTAAAAAATCGAAAAAAAATGGGATTAAAAACACACCTAATTAATTTCAAGGCCAGGCCAGAGGGGTCACGTCATATAGTGACCTTATTAACCTTGATTTGGTTTCCATCGGTATTTAGCTTTGTTGGGGTGTTAACACTTCTCGTCGTAAATAAGATTTTATAGTTTTGATTAATTTACACATCAAATAAATTACAAAATAGATGATATAAAAATGATTGCCCAAAAGCTACTTTGATAAAAAATATTTAGTGGTGCGGTTTGGTTCTTTTTGATCCGCATATGAGATAAAAATTTGATGAGTTCTTGTTTTGTTGATCTGGTAACAATCCTATAAACAATACAAACCAGTTGAAGTAGTTTTGAATAAAATACTCATTTTTTTAAATCAAAGCTGGCTAGTTCATATTTTTCAATGGAACTAATGAAAGGCTTTTATAAATGATTTCTTGTTTCCAAATCAACTGTTTCCTAATATGAAATAGTGAGGATATAAAAAAAAAGAAAAAAAGAAAAAAACGTCAAAAGCATCTTGCCATACTGAAGAAGGCATCTCATGCACACAGTCCAAGTATTCAAGACTGCGAGTTCCATTTTGTTTAGTTTATGTGGCTCACATTTCGTCTTAGAGTGTACTATGATTTGTTGATAAATTTTAGCAATACTCTATACACTCACAAACAGCATGTAAATAGAACAATCGTCGAACGAATATCGTTTATCAATTATTCTATTGCAGATCAAGATCACGAATCACAAACACACATTCAATGTCCGGTACGTCGTGGCCCGGATGTACGTTATTAATAATACAAATAGTATTGTGAATTAATATGTAAAAATAATAATAAGGAAATAAAGAAAAAATGAAAAACTTAGAGATCAAACACACGCACATAGGTGATGCTCACTTAATTACGATAAATTTACTTTATATAAAGTACACCGAAGCTGTTGAAAGGGTTTGGGAACATTCGTAGACATTTTTTAAAGAAAATAGTATTATTTTAAAGGTATAAATGTAAAACTACTTTTTTAAAGGTACTTAGTATTTAATAATTTTGTCTTTAGAAGGTGAACATTTAGAATCTCAAATTAAGCTTTGAAGAAGAAAAAAAATTGAGCTTCAATTATATAAAGAGATATAGGAAATGAGTTTTTTAAATAAGTTTCTACGAATGAACCTTAGCCGATTCCCAAAAGATACATTATTAGAATCTATTTGGAATGTAATATATAAAATATATTTGTATGTACCATTTGGACTTCCGACACTGAGCTGATACTGAGAACATACATGGTGACTCCTACATCAACTGGAGGTCCTGCAAACCGCAAAATTTGAGACTCAAAGGCAAATAAATTCGTTTTTGCTTTAGACGTGAGATCAAAAATACAAACATTAATACGTGTTCGATGGAGTAATAATTTCGTTGTAACGTGAAAACCAAATCAAAAATTGTGAACCCCGGGCCTGTCCAAAACCCCAACCCTTTGGGTGTTAGCTGATGAACCCAAGGGGCTGGAAATATGGGGGACGGGGACACTAAATCGAACAACTCGAACACTAAGAAGTAACTGGTTTTTACTTAAGGAACTACTGACCATTTGATTTTTTTATATTCAAATCAAAAATTGTCATCATTTGATCAGCAATTCCCCATAGCCATCTAAAGAAAAACTTCAAATATAGACATTAAGGTAACTCTTAGCGCAAAATAACAAGGGGGATGTCATAATTTATTATATAAGTACCATTTGAACTTCAGAAAGTGAGCTGATAGAAAGAACATACATGGTCACCCCTACGTCAACCGGTGGGCCTGCAAATTATTATAAAAATTATCCCCAAAATTAATTATATAATTGCAATTTTATGTGTTGTGGTGAACAAAATCCAAACATAATTTTAGAACAAATAATCTGTTCTAAAACATATTTTTGCTAGTACAAAAACACACACTGTCTTGGGTGAAATAAAAAAAAAAATCTCAGTCCGCCAAACGCTTTATAAGTGCTTTAAGCTTGCTGAAAGCTAGACAAAACAATACAATTTTATAAAGTGATTATGTGAACTTTGCCTATTATTATAATATAAATAGAACATATCTCTATTTTTTCTTATGACAATAGAGTTATGTCCTTTTGTACTAACGTTATTAAAATGACACAAAGGAAAAATGTACCATTTTCACTTCGTTGAGTGAGCTTATACTCAAAACGTACATGGTTACCCCGACAACGACTGGACCTCCTGAAAATATTTCAAATCTAGAAAATGTTTTACACAATCGAATATTCATTCTCGGACAGTTTAAAAAAAAAATGTCGCGTAAAATATTCACTCAGTGGCAAGTTAAAAGTGTTTTCTTGTTAAGTGTGTGGCACTTAGCCAGCAAACATTTTTTTAAATACAAAACGCGGAGTGTTTCGTTTGTTACCAGTTTCGACATCGTGTGTACATTACATTATGTAGGTCAAAAAATAAATAGTATGTATATATTAAAATTAGAGAATAGTGGGTGTAATTATCAACAACCTTAATATAATCATTTTGTGAAGATTTTTTTCAACTCGCTGATCTTGGTCAGAGGGTAAGTTTCGAGGTATCGTGAAGGGTTGAGTCTTTCTTCATACCATTTGTAACGCGCGAAAATTAGTTTGCATTATTAAACTACAATTTAGCTATCTCACTCGGCTTCTCTAATATGTCATTGCACTGGTACTAAAACTGATTTATCATATTGCACTAGTTTTGTGAATAAGAATCGTGGTACGTACCTGCCTATTTATTTGGTTGCCTAAGCACTACGATTCCTCTGGTTTTTCGGAGTTTTTTTTTCATTTCATCAAATAATTTAAGCCCTGTTATATCATTTTTCTTTGTTATGACCCTCACATTTAAAATTTGCCTCAAATGTGTTGACTGCGGCCTTTACATAAAACTTAAGCGGATTTTGGTAATCTCATCCTCTATTGCGACACTTATTCTGACTCCTTCAGCTTCAGATCAGGACACCGAACTGCAAACTAATCTCTGCTTTCAGAGGTGGTACATGGTATAATTTTATGGATAGGTGGTTTCGGACTGGTACCTTTACAGATATTTTCTGCACGATTCTGCTTCTAGTTGGCTCCCAGATTTATATGCTTTTCCCAAATGTAGGGAGCTTCTTGGGTTTTATGTTACTGACTTCTTGGGGTGTTACCTTAAAGGATTTGCCTAGCGTATCAAGGTAATATTTTTCAAGGCCATGCCCAGTGAGCAGGCCGACGACTCTTCTCTTTATTTTTAGAGGTTGTTCAGGTCTATATGCTGAGAAGCTGAGTTCGGGATGAACTTTTTCGCTTGCTTCAAGCTCGGAGTGGATCTCCACTGATTTTGCATTTGTTTCTTCCCCGTTCAGTTCTTTCCTGAGGTGGCTCTTTATGAGTTTACAGGATTGCAGTGTTGTAGCCTCTTGTCTTGGGAACAATTCGCTCCTTTGATCGATGCCTTGCTGTCCTGGTTGTTGAATATAATAATGTGTAGAAAATGGAAATTTACTTAGTTTTACCACACATATTATTGTTTTACCTGTTTTTGTAGTGACTATAATTTTTGATAGATTGTCCAATGTAATGTAAGTTTTTCCCGTTATTTCATATTATATCTTCTACTAAAAATCGCTTACAGTGTATTATTTGTCCATTAACTTCAAGAGGTTATGGGGCCAGAAGTGAAGGTTTGTGAAAAATAGCTGCAAACTGTAAGTGTATTCTCAATTTTGCTCAGAGTCATTCTTTTCCTACCAAAGACTGTCGCAAATGTTAAGTTTGATTTTGTGAAGGCTAGGCTGTTGGACGAGAAAATGAAAATGAAATCAAAGAACGAAAAGAGCTATGAAGCTAGTGAACTAGGCCTAAATGTGAATACCCAGAACATGTTTTGTAAGTATGTGGCAGCCGACAATATTTTCAAGCACAGTGTCCACAAAGAAGGAGAAATGTTAGAGGCGGAGGAAATCACAGGGGTTTTAGAGGGAATTATAGAGGATTTAGAGGTTATAACAGAGGTCGCTCCCATGAAAAATAGAAGAATGAAGAAAGAAATCATCAGGCATACACAGCTGAAGAAGAAGTGATGCTATATGCTGCAAACTATTGCAGTGAAATTGACGGCAAATTGAGTTTTGTATTGGACTCAGGTGCGAGTAATCACTCTATGCAGGAAAGTCTAGAAGCCAAAATGTTTGACATACAGGTGCTACAAACTTTGTATCAATACATATAGCAAATGCATTTTTTTTCAAATCCAATAGGATCGGAATCCTAGTCAAAAAGGGGCTCTATATGTTTACAGTGGACCTTTTGCTTACCAGTACCATATTTCAGTGGATAAGGACTTATGGCATAAAAGATTGGTTCATGCAGGTCATGGCGCACTAATGCAGCTAGGTTTATCAAAATCTGATAATGTGTAGCAGTTGTATGGAAGGAAAGGCAACAAGGTGTACATTTGATGAGAATAAGAGGACCTCGACTGCTATGGGAGATCTGGTACGTAGTGATATCTGCGGACCAATCAATCCAGCCACACTATAGATGGTGGTAAGTACTTCCGAACTATATCAGATGATTTTTCACATTTTTTAGTTATTGAAATATTAAAAACTAAAGATGAGGCTAGCATGAATCTTATACAATATGTAAAACACCTTCAAACACAGCACCAGGTTAAGGTCAATGCATTTAGACTAGATAATGGAGGAGAATTTGTGTCGAGTAGTTTTACGAATTTTTGTAAGAAGAATGGTATGACTTTGGAGTATACCATGCCATATACCCCCCAAGAAAATGGAAAAGATGAAAGAATGAATAGAACTCTATTGGATAAAATGAGAACCAAGATTATAGATTCAGGTATTCCAAAAACACTATGGGATGAGGCTCTAAAATGTTCTGTGTATGAACTGAATAGAATTCCAACCAGAGTTTCACCTAGGGGAGTAACATCCTCGACAATTTGGAATGGACGAAATGACTTCTGGGTGTCGAGTCTGGTTTACAATTCTATCCAAAGGTAATAAGTTAGATGCTAAGGCAAAGTAGGCTGTTATGGTAGGATATTGTGGTGGTGGCTACAGATTATGGTTACCAGATGAGTAGAAAATAGTGGGATCCAGAGACGTAAGATTTGATGTGAGCTTGATGGAATACAAGAAAAGCCATAAGAATAGATAGAAAGTGGGCCAAAGGAAAAAGAAAAACAGCCAAACTACTTACCTGATGAAGAAGAGAAAAGAGAAGAGGGAGAAGAGAGGCAAGAAGAAAATTATATTGAAGCGAGACCTGTTCAAATGACCAATAATATGCAAGGATGAAATGGAATTTTAAGTAGTGATGAAAACGAAAAAGATATTCCATGGAATAATAGGACTATAACAAGACTGTAAACAAACCCAAAATTCTTGATGATCATGATATATACAGTGCCTATTGTTTGCTCACAGATGACCCTAAGAGTTATGCAGAAACTTGTAAAACTGCAGAGTGGAGAGAAGCCATAGAAAAAAATTGGGCCACAATAAAAAGTACTTACTTATTTACTATAAATAAAACATTTACAATTTGAAAAAAAACTATATTTTTTATTCATAGTCCTTGTTAAACTGCCAAATCAAACTGCCAGGACGCAACGCAACACGTGACGGTCCGACCACCAAGTCATTGATGATGCAGGGTTGCCACATGTCTGTTCATGGCTGGATACGTAAAGGCGGCTGTGTCAGTACCGTGAAGACATTTTGGAACCTATAATTCTTCCATATGCAGCACGAGCGAACAATGATTTCATCCTAATGCACGAAAATGCTCGAGCATATGCTGCGAGGACAGTAAGAACGTTTTTAGAAGAAAACAATATTGACGTTTTACCTTGGCCTACGCAATTACCAGATCTGAATCCCATCGAGCATGCGTGGGATATGCTCCAAAGATGTGTATTAGCACAAAATTTGAGATTTGAAACAAGAAATGACTCGCTGAATTGTTTAGAGCAACAATGGCGTTTCATTCCCCAAGAAGAACTTGACAACTTCATTAGAAACAGATGTAGAGCTGTTATTAACAATCTAGGTGGCCGTACTCTTTACTAAAGTGTTACACTGCTTAAAATGCGTTTGTTTTTATGAGAATTAAAATTTGGGTTTGGTGAAAAATACTCGTTTGTGTTGGAGATATTTCAATCCAGAATTACTATTGTGAATTTAAAATAGCTATTTTCCCAACGAGTGCCGGAAATTTCTTCCCGCAAGAGTTAGGAACTATATTTTTTCTACGAGCATACTAAAGCTGATGTTACGAGAAGTTTAATTTAAATAAAATGCGATTGTGTAGAAGGTAGAATTAAAAATGTATTGAAAGGTATTTATAAAAAAAAAGGTGAAGGTATTAAAGGTAAAGGTATAGGTGTATCAACAATACAAACAATTCCATGTCACAATGATTATTTCGAACTCTTCCCGCACTGAGTGCGGGAAGAAATCTCTTCCCGCACTGGTACGGGAAAAAAGTCTTCCCGCACAGCAAATCGTGCGGAAAGAGCCATTTCCCGCACGCTCGTAGAAAATAGTTATTTTCCTAACAAGTGCGCAAAGTGTTACTTTTCCGCACGCAAACACAGTTATACGAACGACGCGCAGCGGAGTTCGGATGAGTGTTTGCGTGCGGAAAAGAAACTTTGCGCACGTGTTAGGAACAAAATTTTTCCTACGAGCCTCATATCAGGTAGGTAACAACAAAAATTTAAAAAAAAAACGATAATTTGTTCAATTATTTTCAATTAACCTGAAGCGAAACTATTCATTTATCAAAAAATTACATAACAAAAAAACAGGAAATTGAAATCCTCGTCAGAGCTGTTCATCTTAAAGCGTTTAAATTTGATGCGAAAGAAGTTTGTAGATTCTTACATGTAAATTGAGAACACAAATCTGACAATGTGTCAAAGCTTATTATATTCAGTGTTTGTATAGATGTTGGCTGATACCTATAGAAACAGAGGAAAAATTTGTCATCATGTGTCAAAGTCGACAGGTGCTTGACAATTATTTTTACTTTTCGGCACTCAGTGCGGATAAGGCCCGTATCCGCACTGAGTGCGGAAAAGTGTAACTTTGAGAACGATAATGCGTGCGGAAAAGTACTACTTTGCGCACGCTCGTAGGAAAATATTTTTTTTTTCGAGGACAGAATGCTGTAGGTAACTAATACAGGTACTAGCTGGTTGAAATCTATCAGTCAAGAATTGTCATAAAAATTGTCATAGAATATTAATTGCTGTAGTCGTTTTCCGTGTAATCTTTTTACGTTAAATAAATATTTCATAGTTTGATGCTTCAAAATTCTTCCTAATTACCAATAGGTTACGGGCCCAGATACGGTACGTGTGCATAAACTGTGAAAAACGTAAAATTCAAGTGGGTATTGCAGATCGCGAAAAGTTCATTGTTATTTATTTATTTATTTGGTGAAACCAATATGGCCGAGTCTTCTTCAAATCTCCATTTGGCATGAAAATAGTCTTGATATATGAAAATTTATGGCGATGTATAGAGGGGTTTTTTGTTGAAGATAATTCAAAGCAGGAAGAACGAGAACGTTGGAACCAGAAGGCTCTAGCTAAAATTTGCCTTATGGTACATCCCTCAGCGTATCTTCATGTCAGGTCAGCAAGCACAGCAAAAGAAGCATGGGAAAACCTGGAAAAAGCATATGAAGAGGTCTATCTAGAAGGTTAGCCCTAATACGTGGTTTAGTTCGAGTTAGACTAGAAATCTTTGAGACTATGGAGGCATATGTAAATGAAACTATGTCACTTGCTCAAAAATTAAGTGACATGGGTCAGCCAGTGGATGATGAGTTTCTAGGAGTAATTTTGTTGAGTGGACTAACCGCAGACTATGATCCAATGGCAATGGCTATTGAAAACTTAAGTGCAGTAATCACAAGTGACTTCATCAAGACTAAGCTTCCCCAAGATGACAAATATGGAAAAGAAAAGTCTGAGACAGCATTGTATGCCAAATATAAAAAGCAATTTAATAAGAAAAATTTAAAATGCTTTAACTGTGGGCTGTTTGGTCACTTTAAGAGTCAGTGTACCAAAGAAAGTGATAGCACTCGAGATGAAAACAAACATGAGAAGAATAAGTCTAATCCTAAGAACACCAATAGAAAAGGTAAGCAAGAAAAAGTACTTCACACTGTCTCAGGTGGATTAGTAAATACATTCAGTTGGTATGTGGACTCTGGGGCAACTTCGCACATGTCATATAATGCAGATTGTCTTCAAGAATTTATTACCAAAGGTGACAGTGAGATTTTTGTAGCAAATAATCAAAAACTGAGTAGTGTTGGTGTTAGGAACACAACAGTTTTCACGAAATATGGTTCCAAGGTGATTTCCAACATTATGTGTATTCCAGATTTGAAGGCCAATTTGCTATCAGTGAGTAAAATGGTGGAAAAAGGTCATGCGGTAACATTTGACAACAACGGCTGCCAGATATATGACAGTGAAGATTTCCGAGTTAAAGGAAATATTGTAGCGACTGCATCCGATAAAAATGGGCTTTATCAGCTAGATTTAGTCAATGAATGCACATATTTGACTAAAATTGCAAGTATGGAGGAATTATGGCACCGAAGACTAGGACACTTGAACAGAATAAGTATGTCTTTGCTCAAACGTGGTTTGGCTACTGGTATTGATGACCACAAGGATGAAAAAGGTGATCAATGTACCATTTGTTTTAGAGGGAAGCAAAGTCGTCAGCCTTTTAAAAAGACAGGTGGTAGGCGTGCCAAAGATTTACTTGAGCTGGTCCATTCTGATTTGTGTGGCCCAATGCCAGTTTCATCATGGAGTGGAGCTAGATATATATTCACATTAATTGATGATTACTCCAGGAAGATTCTTGTCTATTTTTTAAAGTCAAAAAGTGAAGTTCTTCCTGTTGTCAAAGATTTCCATGTATTGGTAGAAAACCAAAGTGGAAGAAAGTTAAAGAAACTTAGAAGTGACAATGGCACTGAGTATGTCAATAGTTCTTTTGAAAATTATTTGAAATCAAAAGGTATG